AAGTGGCGAGGGAAACCCCGCGCGACGCCAAAAATAGATGGCCGAAATACGTCTCTATATTTCAGCCAATCACAGAGATGTGCTACTGCTACATGCTCGCTGTAGCTTCAACGTTTTTTAACAAAGGGAAAGAGGCAGATGCAGCATCTTACCATAGGCTAGAGTGTAGTATCTTTGCTGCAGAGTCAAGTCGGTTTAGTATGGCAAACTGCTAGTAGGCTACATGTAACACAAACGCGCCTTTCCCTTGCCTTTCCCGCAAGTACAACAATTATTACCTTTTATCTTGCCTTACGGCTATTACTGTAGGCCTATCATAATAGGCTTCTAATTCTTTTAGTGCGCATGGTAAGATTGTACACGTTCAGCTTGCCACATCTCCCACCCCCCATGTTTCCATTGGCAACTGGTAGTGACTTCCTAACCGAAATAGCATAGTGGAAGTAGAGTAGAAGTATTAGAGTTTCACTTGACGAATTTAAGAAGAAGAAAATACCTGTATTATCTGTGGAGAGGGGTTTGATGCGAAGCCAGTTACGCTTACAGAAAAGGGGTGCAAAACCACCAACAGCATCAGTGCACAATTAGGAGAAGCTGTGTTTGCAAAGTCAGGTGACAATGTCCATAAGACCTGTAGAGATTGCCACACTGACAGAAATTATTTTCCATCAAAGGATCCAAAACTTGCAGAGTCACATCGGAAACGTCGTGCACCAGAACAAGTCAGAGAACCTGGAAAATCACTTTGTGTTTGTTTTGCAGTCAAAAGGCGAAAAGAGGCAAGAAAGGCAGAAGCGGTCATCCTCTGATTTATGTACAGACAACGCAATTCCAGGACTCTGTTCTGCGTTTTGCAAAAAGAGGGGTGGAACAGACAGATGGTCAAGAGAGGTATCAGGCAAGATAGATTACATGCAGGATCTTTTTGCTCGTGATGCTGTCTACCACAACGTCTGTAACACGCATTTCAGAGAAAGGAAAGGAGTACCTGTTATTTTTGCGAGTGGTGAACCTGCTGCAAAACACATGTGCTATGGGCCTGGGTGACCCGGAATGAACGCTGTTTGGAAACTTACCAAGCAGATGTTGATTATCTGGAGAATGAAGATATAGAGCAGGTGACTGTCCCAGATCTTGTTAACCTCATGCACAGCAAGTTGTCACCCGAAGACGCAGCCTACTCTCCCAGATACATGAAACAGAAATTACTGGAGCATTTTGGTGACGGCATTGTCATTACCGAGAAACTCGACGGGACTCCAGACGTTGTCATTTTGAAGGAAACTGCAGGTTACATCCTTGCGGAATTTTACAAGCAGCCCAAGGACGATGATCATCAGCAACAGAAACTTTACATCAT